TCCCTCCTCAGTGTTGCACAGTAAGCAAGATGAAAACCAAGACGACCAAGAAACATGATTCTCAGCTTGACCTGTTCCTCAGTTCAGTTCTCATACATATAATTTGTGGAGCACAGTGCTGGAATCTAAAAAGGAGCTAAGCACATACATATCAGGCAATACTGCCCATAGCTTATTTGAGGTTTGAAGTTTACAATCCTGTACAATAAAAACGTCTCTCTTCAAGCTATAATGGAAACTCTCTTCCTTGGTACTGCTTGCTCTGCAGCATTTCACCTGGTTGAATGCTTTCCAAGTTAGGAATAAAAACTGTCAACATATAAATGACTTTTCAGAAGGTCCTGTTCTCTGTGTGCTTGAGATGTTACACAAATATTTTACATCATTCTTTGACTTCCAAATGAGGAAGCGTTCCCCCTCTGAAATACGACATAACAAAGTTCCACCACAACCCTGCACAGATGGCCAGTTTAAACTGCTAAGTGACTGGTATTAAGTCCAGTTTCTCATAATGATCTTACAGTAATTTAGTGAAAGTCAAGTCTTCCGAGTCTTTTATCACATAGGAAGGATCAGCCATGAAACAAAACTATAAATAGTGATGGTTTAAAATAAAGCAAAAAAACTTTAAAAATCACAAATGTCTATGCTCAAGGAAAGGCCTGCATAACTTAGATGCTTTTGCACACTTGATAACAAAAGATTTTCCCTACTTACATGGGATGCACTGCTGGACACCTCGTGAAAGAGCACTAGAAGACAACTGTGCCTCTAACCTGGCATTAGAAATCTACAGTTCTCCTAAACTGCATGACACCTCTAAACAGCCATTGGAAGTGGCTCAAAACAAGTCAAACCCTGGTCTCCTACAGTCTCATCCCTGACAGCAAGAGAACAGGGATCTTCAGGATGAAGTTTTTTCCTCTGCAGGACAGAAACAGGACACAGTCCATGTAATGTATTGTTATCCCTTCTGAGCTGACAGCTTGTCCAGGACAGGTTAGAGATCATCTCTCAACAGCTGGACAGAAAGCTTCAACTAAGAGTATCTTGAATATGGCTGGTTTTAGCTCCCCACTAGGGAAGGATTGGTATGAGGAAGTCAGATTTGTTCCACGATTTCCTCACAGAATGTGAAATCCAAACTCTGATCTTATCTTTATGATAGTCAGTGACGTGGAATCAACATACCTGCAAGAGCCAGAGTTCAATGGTTATACATCTGAGACTCAGTAACAAATAAATCACACAGATATGAAAAAGCACCAGAGGTTCCAGAAGCACTGGCTCAGAGTTAACTCAAATGCCAAGCAGGACCAAATGCAGACCACGTAATTTAACTTCACAATACAGACAGCACACAGGACATACATGCTTACGTTTAACTATTTGTCCATCCTGTTTCTTCATACAGGAGTACTTGAAAATAGAAGGTTACTTTCATTCATTCACTTTTGGAAGTCGAGCCCCAGCTCATAAACAGCACTCACAAGAGCAGGTAGCCTAAAGCTCTTCCCTACTAACAGCCCTGCCCTACACTTTCAGATGTCAGCAGCTCCTGTCAGCCCGAGGCTGTGGCCAAGGCTCTGGAAAGCAGGCAGGACCGGGTCATCCCGACACAGGAGCTGGGCCAGAAGGGCAACTGGGCCATTCCCCAGGCTCCCCGGGGAGAGAAGCTCTGCAGCGGCCAAGCAGCTCCAGCGGATGGGAAGGGAGCAGCCAGCAGAGGCTGGACGGACTCGGGAAGACCCCGGAATAGCGCGGCCCTCTGGCTCCACGCCAGGAGGCGCTCCCGGGGCGGGCGGGCACCGCCCGGGACTGGCACTCGGGGCACCCCGGCCGCCGCTCACCGTTATGGTCGTAGACGCTGACGTAGGAGATGCCCACGGCCATGCACCACACGACCAGGCTGGCCATGTCGGCGTAGCTCGGCTCCTCCTCGGTCACCACCAGCCCCACGTGCACCGGCAGCTTCCGCAGGGCGCGCCCGTCCGCGCGCCACCGCTGCCGCCCGCGCGCCGCCCCTGCCCCCAGCCGGGCACTGCCCATAGCCGGGCACTGCCCCCAGCCGGGCACTGCCCATAGCCGGGCTCTGTCTTCAGCCGGGCACTGCCCCCAGCCGGGCACTGTTCCCAGCCGGGCACTGCCCTCAGCCGGGCACTGCCCCCAGCCGGGCTCTGTCCTCAGCCGGGCACTGTCCCCAGCCGGGCCCTGCCCAACCTCTCCGCTGCTTCCCGGCCTCTTCTGCAGACCCTCCCTCTGCCCTTCCCAGCCTTGCTCTTCCTGGCGCCCGGTTCACGCTGGCGTGTGAAGCAGAGGTGGAGGGAGAAAGCGTCTGAACGCCACAGGAGCAGCCGGGCCTCAGGGGTGTCTTTACTGAAACGCAGGTTTCACCCTCAGAGCGCGCTGCCAGTGTAACCTATAACCTATAACCAGTAATAACCCCGCACCCCGATTCGCAGTCGTTCCACTAAAGCCGCGGCTCCCAGGCTCTTGCTGCTTTGGCTTGTAAGGACCCACGGGTCCGAAGATGGAAACACCGCTGCAGGTGAAATGTGAAGTGAGAGCTAGTGCCAGCCCGATGCTGTCAGACAGATAGGTGGGCAGAGATGGCATGGAGATGTTTAAAGCACTCTGTTAAAAGAATCTGCCATTATAAAACGGAATGAAGAATTTTGTTTCATGGAAATATTTCTCTTACTCAGAAAATAGCTACTTTCCTGGCCTCTAATACAGACCAGGCTTAGCCAGCAAAAATAATACAGTCACACTGCAAGGAAGGCTTGTGCTGTTTCATAAATACCTAAATCTTTAGGTACCAAAAATTTGTGTGACTGACCATAGAACCATAGAATTATTAAGGCTGGAAAACACCTACAAGATTAATTCCCACTGTTAACCCAGTACTGCCAAGTCCTCTGTTTAACCATGTTCTTAAGTGCCACATCCACATCTTTTGAACGCATCCAGGGTGGTGAGCCCACCACTTCCCTAGGAAGTCTGTGCCAATGCTTGACAATGCTTTCCATGAAAAAAATTTTCATAATAACCCATTTAAACCTCCCTGGTGCAGCTTGAGGCCATCTCTGGTCCTTTCACTTGTTTCCTGAGACTGACCCCAATCTTGCTACTTCCTCCTTTCCGAGAGTTGTGAGAGCAATCAGGTCCCCCTGGAGCCTCCTCCAGCCTAAAGAACCACAGCTTTTCCTCACAGGACTCAGCCTCTAGGCCCTTCACCAGCTTCATTTCCCTTCTCCGGGCAGGCACTGGCACCTCAATGTCTTTCTTGTAGTGAGGGGCCCAAAAGTGAGCACAGCCTCCCCAGTGCCCTGTACAGAGGGACACTCACTGCCCTGGTCCTGGTGGCCACACTATTGCTCACACAGAGCAGATGCCATCGGCCTTCTTGGCCACCTGGGCACGCACTGCCTCCTGCCCAGCCAGCTGTTAGCCAGCCACCCCAGGTCCCTTTCTGCTGGGCAGCTTTCCAGCCCCTCTGCTCCACAGCAGTGCTGCAGGGGGTTGTCATCACCCAAGGGCAGGGCCTGCCTCTTGGCCTTGCTCAGTCTCACGTAGTTGGCCTTAGCCCATTGATCCAACCTGTGCAGATCCCTCTGCAGGGTCTGATGATAAGGGAACATAAAGAAAAATGGGCTCCATTTTCCAGTCTCTATTGGAATAGAGATTCCAATCTCTCTATTCCAATTGCATAGCTTAATGTGTTGGGGGACCTAGAAACGCACGTGTCAATCACATTTGCATAGGAGACATAACCAAATAGCCGCACTCTGACACCGGACAAATCAGCCTCCATGGAGATGAGTGATTGCTCAGTTACTGAATGCCAACGGGAGATAAAAAATAATAGAAACTCTTTGCTTTGAAAAGTAATTTGCTGATGTAATTACTCATCAGTTATCACCTGAGATCATAAACTAACAAGTGATTGTTTGTAAGTCACTGGTTTTAGTGGTCTCGCTAATCCAGTTTTTGTTTAGTTTTCAAGCACTTTGGGAACTGCTTGATAAAATTTGTACATATATCAGAGTTAATGCATTAATTATATAGCATTTAGTAATTTTTTTGTGTGTATGTGCACAAAAGTCTGGAAAGTTCTGGCCAGTGCAGGGGGACACTTGCAGTGTGTACACTTGCATGTTAAGTATATCTAACCTAAAAGTATACACATGGTATCTTGAGCTATATTGTAGCAAATTAGCTATCCAGATACCAAAATAAACTCTTACAAAAGCTTCACCTCACTTCATCTTATCCTAATATTTTCCAGGATATATTTCCTGAGAATCTCCCTTCTTTTGTTTACAGCAAAAGAATCAGGTCAACTTGACCCCAGTGTTTTCATTCCTCACTATTAATTAACTTCAGAACTACTATTAAATCTCATTAACCAGGACACTGATTCTTCTGTTTATTTCACTTGCTGTGATGAAGATAAGCCTTCTGTATTTTGCCTGCAGCTCAACTAATTTAGTCTTATGTCATTTAAAATAGTCTAAAATAAATTAAAAAGGGAAATGTTTCAGGAAAACTGGAATCAGTTTTTCAAAAGCAAGAATTTCTGAACAATCCCAAAAAATTGCTCACATCAGTGTAACTCTCCATGTCAACCTGCAGACCCATGAGTTTAAATGTGTTAATGCCAGACTCCTAGTAATAGTGTCTTGTGGTATTGCAGAATTTTATTTGGGGGGGTTTTATGCAACTGTAAGAAATGTTCTACTATAAAAAGGTATACAGAGTTACCGACTGCTTTTCTAAGACATAGTAATGTCTTGCTTCTCTCAAACTACATAGTACTAATGGTATAGAAAAACAAATTTTGGTTTCTTTTTTACAATATTCAGTTCATAATGACAGCCTTAGTACAACTAGAGCAGGAAAAGCTAATGACAGATGAGAAGACTGCTTGTCAGTAGAGACACTGGTGGCACTGGGCAGCTCTAGACAACTTTAAGGTTCACTAAAGATAAACTGTGACATTAATCTAATTCATAATCGTAGTAATCATCATCTGTGTTCACTCCAACACTGGAGGCCTCATCGGGTTTCATTTTCTTTCTGTCCTCTCTGCCTCTTTCCATGGAAGACAGATTGTCTTCGCACTGCTGCAGAATCTTCTTGGAAGACATCCAGCTTTCTCCTCGGCTTTGTGCCGGCGCTGCACACTGCCCTCCCCGGACATCCGTCCCTTTGGCCACCAGTGCTCTTCTGGTTCTGAGAAGGTCACAGGTGCAGTTCCAAGGGTTCCCATCTAAATACAGATGACGAAGACGAGGTAAATACTCCAAGATTTTGCGATCCAACAGAGATATCTTGTTATTCCGTAAATTTAAAACCTGAAGCTGTTTCAAGTCCTTTAGCTCTTGCTCTCCAACGTCCTCTATGTCGTTTCCTTTTAGATCCAACCTAGCAAGGGTTTCTGGAAGTCTGAGCAAAAATAAAACAATAGAAAGGTGTTATATTCATCATACTGTTTCCGGTAAGTGGTATTTGGTGGTGGGTATTTGTCCAGACACATTTAATGTACTAAAATAAAGCTATCACTAAAAACAATGCAATCTTCTGCAAAAACAGATGTTTATATTGGGTTTGGGGTTGTTTGTTTGTTCTTTGTTTTTATGTTACAGGTGTACTCTGTGTACAGCATTGAAATGTTTTCCCAAATTACTGCAGTTCTGACCTGTACTGACTGTTCATGCAGCTAAACTGAACAGCAGTCTTGTGCTGTATTATAAAGCAAATCAGCTGTTTAATTTAAATTGTCAAGTTTAAAAATGCTTTTTGTACTCTTCAATGCCAATGAGCAAACTACAGCACCATGAAAGATCAAAACCTTAGACAATTGTGGCGACACTGCTCCTTCAATTACTTTTATATATGATTTGTTTAAAAACATTTCTTAGTTTGTTAAGAATTATATTTTTTTTTCCATTTTGTTCTCCTGCTCCCATAAGACTCTAACATTAATCATCACAGCAGTAATCCATCTGATGATAAACTTAAGAAATCAGCAACGGGAAAATATAAATGCTTTTAAAATAGTACCTTTGAGAATTAGAACTGGTTACATTTAGAAGCAGAGAAAAAGCTGATAATCTCTGATACTGGACAGGTAAGCATAATTCTTATTTTCATATACATTACAAATTTATATGAAAATACTTTAATTTCAAAAGTCTTGCTCATTTATGATCTTTTTATTTCTCTCTGATATAGATAGTGACAAGTGCTTAACAGAAAAGCACAGGCATGGAATATCTTTAATAAAATTACTTTGAAATAACTTAAAAATCACCTTACTATGGTAGTATGCAAGGTGATGAAATTGAGTCAAGGTTACAGAGTTTAAGGAAACTTGACTGAACCTCCCAGGGAAATGATAATTATATTACCAAGATCTATTTAGAATAGAACAGCAGTATACTACAACTTATGGATGACCCTCACTCACTGTTTTTTGTGAAGCCGAGTTTGAACCTCTTAAGCTGAAAGATGGTTTCCAGATTTGTGAAAACCTGACAAGTTCAATGTTACTATTTCAAAAGTATGGCGGTTTTGTATTGTGCTGTTTTTCCTGGGGAGACGAGAATTTCACATATTGGTATGGTGATTCACTTCACAAAATCTGACCTTACTAAATGCTTGTGACTGCAGTAAATCAGTTTTGAAACTTAACTGCAGACAACTGCCCAATATGACACTGTAATGTCAGAAGGGTACTCTGGAGTAAAACCCTAGTGCCACTGATGTCAAAGGCATCGGGAAATCACCCAAGACGCTTATCCAGACTGATTACAGTCTAAAGCCTGACCAGCAAGTCCTTAAACCTGTGAAGAGTCTTATTGTACTAATGTTAGACTTAAACTTTATGGCTATATTGTTTGACTTCAGGCTGTGTTGATCTAAACAAAATAATACCACTGAGTACATGATCGAGTGCCCTGCAGCTGGAAGAGGAGCTGTGCTCACCTGGGAGCTGACCATGGCAGCCACTCTGTGCTACTGCCACTCTAAGGAACATCATCAGATTCTTCCTTGCATTTTCACCACACCCTGAAGGATCTTATGAAGTACAAGTCTTCTCTAAAAGTCCTGAAAATACTTGGACTTGTGGATTATTTTCTTTTCAGAAAAGAAGGGAAAGCAGCTTTCTTTCATCTCATTTCTGCCAAAAACCTGCTAAGACCTGTTCACTTTAACACATCAGTCATATCTTTTAACCTTTTACATCTGACAGAGTTCTCAGAGAGAAGTCAAAAGTAATAATTTATTTTTCTGTATATCCATGAGTACCTGGTCATCACCAGACAATTAAATTAAGTGCATAAGTTTTATTTCTTCTCATTTTTTTCACCTCTTTTATGTTTACAGCCCTCCCTGGAAATCTGTATTTACTGTTGGAATGAAGGGTGCCCAATATCTCCTTAAAAGTTGTACTGTTTAAAGGCTAGTAGAGAACTCCTTCCTGTCAATTCTCTTGACTACGAAGGTTGTAAAATAGGATGGATTAGACAATACTAAAGTAATTACAAAGCATTAAACATTCCTGTTGAGCTAGACTGAAATCAAATATTTATACACCACTAAATCAGTTTCTGATTATAAAGCTGTTGCCAAATAGATTCAAATGCTAAAGGACATGATACTAAATTAATTGAAATTGTACTGTGTTATTTATTTAGGCTAGTTAAACCTGTCTACAAGCCATAAAAATAAAGTTTAACAGTCCAGTTTTGTTAATGAAGTTGATGGTAATGGAATAACTTCACTATTTTTATGCCATCTTCTTGCACAGCCTTTTCTAATAATAAAATTGCCACTTTATATCACAGCAGCCTCCATTTGACTTAATATGCCATCTCTGATAATGGCCAGTTCCAACACTCAGATGAATGTAAGAGATCCTCTAAGCAGAGCATTAATGAACACAGTGCAGTGTGCCCAAGGGATGTTTCTTCTGTGCTCTGTTGACTGGAATTTTTCTTATAGCCTGAAGCTGAAGACTTTATATGCATTCCAAATACTTTCAAATGTGTGAATATAATGAATCTGGGAATGCCAATATCACTGAAAAAGCACAGTCTTTTTGATCAGATTCAGCTCCCAAAATCTTAATATTTTAATAATGATAAACTTGGTGTGGCTTGGTAGAAATATCAGCTTTAAAATTGCTATCTATCTTTTATATCAAAAGCTCAATTATTTTTCTTTTGTGGGGGAAGGTAAATCTAAGTAGCAGTATAACCTTGGTAGTAAGTCTGTTGCATTCTCCTAGCAGATTCTTCTTATTGGTGTGCTAATTAAATAAAGTGGTCTCACTGGCAGGGAGAGATGCAAAATGAGCAGATTCATTGGGGGCCACAGATGTAATGAAAGCAGCTCTACCCTGAGACTGCTAACAGGAGTGCTAATTAGTGCTGGTTACGGCAGTGGGTTTATGGTATGGACAGACTTCTACCATGACTGGGTTTGAATACCAATTTTTGGCTCTCGTTCTCATAATGCAAGGAAGGAGAGATGACACCTTGGAACCAGCTGTCCTGAGATTCACTTGCCTCAGCGGAATAGAACTGAGGAGATTCTGTTCCAGCGCCAGATTGGAAAGCTGCACACACGGCTGGAGAGCTCCCGCCTCAAACGTGCTGACAGCGTTGTTGTCGAGAAACAAGTGCTTCAGGTCTTGGAGTCCTTGAAAGTCCTGTGCTGTCACCCTTTGGATCAGGTTATTGCTGCAGTCGAGTTTCTGCAGCCTGCCGGGCAGCCTGAGGGGCACAGTGTGGAGCTGGTTCTTAGAGAGCTCCAGTGTTGTTAAGTTAGGAAGAAGCTGGGCACCATCTATTGATGTCAGCTGATTTTCTGACAGCAGGAACTCAGACAGATTTTCTAGTTGTTTCACATCTCGAAGTCTCACCATTTTAAGTTGGTTTTTCTCTAATTTTAGTGACAGCAGGGATTTAGGTAGGTCTAGAGGCACTTTTGTCAGAAAATTACCACTTAAGCTGAGAAAATGTAGACTTTGGAAAGATGCAAAGAAGTTGGTTGGGAATGAATTCAGTTTATTATCAGCCATGCTCAGATATTTCAGCCTAGGAAGCCTAAGTGGTGCAGACACAAATTCCATGTTGTTGCCATCCAGGATCAGACTCTGTAAATTGTAAAGGGAAGAAAATGCACTTGGAGGCAGAGTTGCAATCAAGTTGTTCCGAAGATCAAGCACCCTTAGTTTCATCAAACCTGCAAAATCAGATGCATGCAGAGCATTGATGGAGTTGTCAGCGAGTCTTAAAACTTCAAGGCCAGATGGGAGAAAGGTGGGTATTTGCTTTAGCTGATTTTTGCAGAGTTCCAGGGACTTCAAGGTGCTCAGAGCTTTGAATGTGTTGTTTTCTATTGATTCTGTGCCACTGCATGAGAGGACCAGCTCTTCAAGGACTGACATTCTCCTGAAGTCAGTAAACTTAAAGAGAAAAAAAAAATAATATGATAGTACATTAATAGATATCCTCACTGGTTACTCCTTCTGGATGCTTGGACAATTGCTAGTATATGCTGAAAAACAATATATTTAGAATGTGAAACTAAAATAAATGGTAACAGTAGAAGTATTACTATAGGTACCTGTGGTTTGCCAGTTTTTCTTACATTTGCAGAATTTTGTGGTATAAGTCTATGCTATGCTCAATGGTGCTTGCTAGAGCACTTTTGAGTTCATGATACAGCCATTTCCATATATCAACAGTACTGTCACTGCAGCATGTATTCCCCAGAGGGAGTACCCATGGATATCTTTACCTCTTGGTACTGTTTTGGCAGAAAACTAAAATTCAACATTTTGTCTCCCCCACTACCTTTTTCTTTAAAAATAAAAATGTCACATATTAATACAATCAAACCAAAAGTGTCAGATCAACCTGGCTTGAAAAACCAGCTCTGTGGAACAGAGTGTTTTCACAGAAACTTAGTTTCTATTAGTTAGTAATAAACAGATACTTTGCAGTGGTAAATGATATTTAGATGTTGACTATAACTATAATATCGAGAGGCACACAATTGTTTCATTTTTTTTCTGCTCTGTTGGAAGGTCCTTGTTTACAAAGCTTGCCATCTTGTGTTTCAAGTTAAGCAGCAAACCTGAGTGAATCTGGCAGAGCCCTCTAAGCTGAGATAGGAGAAGTGTGCAATGAGGGTGAGACAGGGAGTTCTCCAAGCACACCAGGTACTAAAATATTGGTTTTCTGAAATTACCAGATATGCTTCCCTTTGACCTCAGTGACTGACTCTTAAAAAATCATTCATATGGGAATCCCCCCAAAAAGGCAACATGAGCAAGTGTTCTGCACAGGAATGGTGGGAAGGAGTGTCTTCATCTGTTTTTCCTTCCCATGTCCAAAACCATCTCCCTACAGGTCTCAGGCATACCACACCAGTTTTAGAGGAGCTAAATTGACAGTAGATTCTTCCTGCTATTTCCCCCAGGGCTTGGTGGCTCCCAGCACATTTAGCTCTCAGTGGGGGGAAGCTATAGAGCCTGTTCTACAGCATAACCCCTCATCCCAGTCAGGAATCTGCATGGAGGACAGTCCAAGTCCTTTTGCAGTACAGGCGCTGGGTAGTAATTTTGATCCATAGTCCTGGTTGGATACATTTGACTATCATACTTCTGTTAAGTGAAATCAGCTCATAAAGGTAACTGTTAAAAGAGGTCTTACACTTTCATTTATCCAACTCTTGCATATTTTTGGGCTGTATCTCTTTATCTCAGCTCTGCATTTTAACTTCTGTTAAAATTTTAAAATTAAAGCCTGCACAGCTGTGAAAGACGAGTCAGATTTCATTTTGCTGTGGTATCCTTAGTTTATCTTTCTGATTAACTTGATTCTGTCTTGCAAAGCAATTTCTGAATTGCAAATTTTGATGCAATTACTGAGAAAGTATAGATATGGAACCTCTATTGAAGCAGGTTTCTCCACCAACTATATATTAATTCAATGAGGGAATATACCTCCATTAAAAACCTTATATTTTCAACAGTAACCAACAAAGTTGTCCAAATTATATTACTTTATTTTTCCATAATGCAGTGTGGTGTGTATATATAGGTATATAGCAACATCAGAACTGCTGATGCCCAGTTTTGGTCATGATTAGGAATGTAATCTTATACATAGGAATGAGCTGCATTGGTGAAGAGCACAAAAACATAATCACATGTAATTATAAAACCATCTTATGGAAATTGAAACAATTATGAACCTTCACAATTCAACACATTTTCTCCTAGAAAATACAAAAGCAATGTTTTCTGCTTTACATCAGTTGATTTCTGTATGTCTCTGAGAGGCTTAATTTTCATCTTACTGAGAGACAGAGAGCTACGTGAAGGTCAATGTACAGACATTTATTCTGTAATGATGTTAGGCTTCTTAATGCGGATTATTATAATTTCTATTTTCCACCTATTTGGTATGCATTGCTAAGCTTTGTAACCATACTGTTTTGAGACTTAAATATTTATCCATGCTTTCATAAACCACTCAGTCTTTCTAATACAAATCAAAACATATTTGAAAGCTGACCAAATCTTTTTTTTGCTAGGAAGCAGTGTTTTATTTTCTAACTCGATTGTCTGTAAAATGATACTATTATAGCTTTATATTTTAAAACACTGATCTCTTGAAAGTTGATCTAATATGCTGTTATTTAATACAAATGTTTTAAGGAATTTGCTTGTTTAATTACTTTTTTTTTGGCTTTTCGAGTTGCTGTGACCTGGAATATGTTATAAGCAGTCTTTTTGAAACAGTTCCCTATGCTGGAAGCAAGGTAAATGATTTTCTTTTAGCAGATATTTAGCACTTATTAATATAGTTAGATATATATTAAATTTTTAATTAAGAGTAAAAAGGTTATAGTTGATCTTCAAGTCAAGGAGGAAGCAGAAAATATTGAAAAAAGATGATAAAATTAATCTAGTTTTGCTATTATAAAGCCTTTTTATAACAAACCCAAGGTTGTAAAATTACCAAAAGTGAAAATGCCAGACACTGTTTTTAATGCTGATCAGCCCTGTCAGAATAAATACAAAATTGATCAGGGTGAAAAAAAAATATTTACTATTTTTCTTGGGGTTTTTTTAACATACTGGATTTAGCATATAAACATATATTATTTTTTAAATATTATTTCTTCACAATGTTAATAATAATCAATGAAATTAAGGTGCAGAAGTAATTGAAACAATATTTTTAAATTCTTCTGAGGCACCTAATTGCTGAACTGTAATATTTGTGAATGCTTGCATATAAAAGTCTCTTGGAGGTCAGCTGTGGGAATTCTGGGCTTCCATTCAACTTCTTCAGGAAAGTATGTTATTTTCTCTGTGAGTAGGTAAATAAAGGAATTTTAAAAACCAAACAAATAAAAACACTCAAATCAAACCCGCCAAATGAACAAAAATCCTACACCAAACCCCTAAAATCCTGTAGAGTTATTTCAGTGCTTGCAGACATGTACTTTACATTCCCTAAGCACTATAATATGTGCCAGTGGAATTGCTCAGCTGTGTAAAATTAAGCATAGGTATTTATGATGTCAAGACCTCAGAAGTATAATTTGTTGCATGGGGAAAAAAAGAAAAAAATATATCCAAAGACCCTGTATAATCTCATGGAAACAGCTTACATAACTACAAGGACATAGTGTGGAAGGCCTTCTTTCAAAGTCAGTAGTAGCAGTAAGGCAGACTCATAGCCAGTGGAGTTAGTTTATAATGTGAAAAAACTCTCTTCTTAGATGATTTCACACACCATTTGTTTTGATCAGTCATAAAACATTTATTCCACCACTTCATTCATTATATCCAACATTTAAATGCTTTATGACACCTGTATTTTGCTCTAGTCAGAACCTAAGGCTACTTCACTTGTAACAGAGGAGTTGCTGACAGGTATGGACAACCAGCCTAAGAAACAGAAAATGGCTCATCTTACTTATCTTGGAAAGAAAATAATGGGGAGGAGAACAGAGGAGTTTGCACAGAAAATGAATTTCCTAATACAGAATTCATTTGACAAACCTTTTGTTTACCCCGAGTATAGCTAAATCACACCAATGTTTGACTCTTGTGGGTGTGTGAGATAAAACAAGAAAATCAGAGATATTAGTAGCAGCTAAAAGAGTAAACTTTCTCAGAGGAAAACTGTACAATCACTATTTCTCAGTGGGAAACAGGCATTCTAGATGCTGCTCTAAGCTGCCTTCCAGCCTATTTCACTTAGTCCTGGGCGAAATCAAAGATGCATTTCAGAGCAGTTAAATTCTTTGTAAGAGAAAATGTAACTCATTTGAATTGCATATTTCTTATTATTTGTAGCAAATTGATGCACAGCGATCATGTGTAATACAGGTGGTTATATTTCCCTTGTGTCTATCTGTACAAGGTGAATTTATTAAATAAAGATTTATAAATAAAGATTATTCCAGGGTAGAAAACAAAGAAGCACCATTCCAGAGTGCAGTGCAAGATGAGCATAAGCTGATGCCATTAACAAAGCGAACCACTGGTGCCTCAAGAAACCCAGAGTAAACTCTTTCAATAGCACAAATAGCTGGCAGCTTTGGTTAGAATGTGGTCTCATTTATGTGGGTTATTAGATAGGACGGGCCTTGCCTTTAGAAACATCTCATGCTGTGCCTTAGACTCAAACTTACTTCCTCTGCCATTTCTAACAGCAGTTGTACCTGACACTTGCAGCTCAAGAGGGGAAAAAGAGCTTCAATTTCATTCATTAGGGAAATTATTCTAATGACATAAGCCCTTTCATTTTCCTGTGAAAAAGTATTATATTGCATCAAAAATAGAAAATGCTTTTAACAGGTTAAAAAATTACTCTGAAAGTCAATGGTTATTTGACCACATATAAAACAAGTCAACCTTTGGCTGCTAGTTGTAAAATACTATTTTTTTGAGTTTCATACAGAATATAATTTTGACAGCATGAACTAGTGCTTGGAGACTGCAGGAACATGAAAACACTACAGGAATATATTTACATATCCTTAAAGAGTAAGTAAAAATAAAACCAATCTGGCAGCACTTCATCAGTTTTTAGAACTGAATAAGAACATGGAATAAGATTCTCTCCTCACTAGATGCCACCACCATCTGGGAAGTCCAACTTTCATTTATGGTGCACTACGAAAAGTACTTTTTCTGGGTTTTCTTACCTGGAGTTGCTTAATTTTGCTGTGGCTGATGTAGAGTCTCCTGGTGGTAAATGGAATTTCTCTGGGGATCTCTGTAGCCCTGTAGCATTGCACTGACTGGGCAGGGTCACAACTGCATCTTCTCGGGCAAGTGGTACTTAGAGCACTCTGAAAAGACAAGGCAACTAAAAGGTAAGACAAATACATCTTCCAAAATGGGAACTCTGGAATTGCCTCAGCAACATACAGCTTGAATTAAGCACCAAAGCCCTTTTATACCATGAAATCTGATAAAAGGATATTATGACTGTGTATTTTATCCCAGTGAAAAAACAGCAAAAACAATACTGTAATTTGCCTGGGTTAAAATGTTGGCAGGCATTACAAAGAGTGAGAAACTTAAACAGTGATAAGGTGCCTTTACATTTGTAGGTATGTGAAATTAGTGTTATTTATTACCTGACAGCTAATCTGTAAACATCCATATTATCTTCAGTTTCCTAGTTTTGTTAAATGTGACACCATGGAATTAGTGGAGAAAAGATAAAGAGCTGTTTTATAGTGGGGCTGTAAAACCTTTGTATCTTCTGTGACCCAGTATTAGAAACAGTAAAAACACAACTACAGCCAACACTGAAGCTTTTTTGCTCTTCCTCTTGTGTTATTCAGACCACCACCTAAAACCTGAAAACTTAGGCTGCTACTATTTTAAAGCAAAAATATTATATTAGTTTTCTTAATATCTGTGGTACAGCTGAGTGCTGCTGACTGGACAAAAATTCACCTCTTCTTGTGTAATTCCCATAAATCAAAATTTATTTATTCTTGTATTTGAAAATTATAAATGGGAAATGCTTGAAATCATTTAATATAAATCAAGTGGTAGATAATCAATAAGACCTATTTACTCCATGACAGATGGAGAACAGAATGATTTCCCCTAGAGTTTTCTCTGTGCTTATTAGTGCCTCTCTGACATATCTGCTAGCTGTGCCAGCTGGAGATGTAAAGTTTTGAAGGGCATAAGGTTTTGGTTGCAATAATTTTCCTTTGCACTCAAGTAGTTTATAACATACAAAACCAGTGTGCTCCTGAAACATTTCTATCTTATCACACTGATCTGCACTGCACTGTTACCTGCTTGCCTCCATCCTCTCCATAATATTTTGAGAAGCAGGTAATCCTATTCCTTAAGTGCAGACTATGCTAGTTATTTTTCCAATCAGAAGATAATGTCAAGTTGATTTGACAAATGGATAACAGTCCTTGATGGGAATGCCTTTTGGATGCAGCTGGGCTTACACTGGACAATTGCCATATTCCTTCCTGAAGAGCCTTCTGTCTCCTTAATCCTCTATACTGTGACTGCAGAACTGCAAGCCAGCATCTGCTAAACCAAGCAACAAGATCAGAAACCTTTCCAAAACCAGCCTGTGAAATTGGCATGTTTAACAAGCTGTGCAGAAAAATACTGCCTGACTTCTGCCATAGTGATCACTTGAGCAAAAATGAGTGAGTGGGCAGCTTTAGCAACTGTGCATTAAAAGAAGTTTTTTAATGTATCTCAGTCTAGGGTTTGTGGCTTTGACTTCCTTTTTTCCCCTACAAGAATCAAAGTATTCAGACAAAAGTGTAAATCCTTTCTGCATACTGACCACTAATTGTAGTATATTTCTTTGATTCCATCTTTCCACTGACTTGGGTCATCGTTCTCATGCAACTAAGACAGTAATACTCAGCATCCTATGTAGGAATTTGTCTTACTTTGAAATGTCATCAAAACCAACTGCTTCTGCTCTGGAAGGTCTGAAAAAAAGAAGATCCAACCCTATGGTTTGGTTTGAGACCTCTAGAGTACTGCAGTCAGTCTGCAAATCCCTGTAAGAATCATAGATTGCATCCTTCCTTATTTTGTAAATTTTAGGTCAGTCACCTGATGACAGAATTCCCAGCTGTAGCTACAAGGTAATGGCACCATAGTAAGGTGCAATATTCTTGGCTCTTATCATTTTTGTGTAATGTCTCTATCCTTGGTCTTTTCAAACTAATGAAAGGAAATGTTATTGGTTTAATAGTTCATTTCCATTATATTTACAACAATGTTTTGATCAAGAATGATGTTATATATCCATTAATTTCTCATATAAATCTGCTTTTGACAGATAGGTAATTTAAAGCAATAGCTATAAAAGATGATGTCCTATTAAACCTATTCTGTACAAATTTTCACACCAGAGCTGATGACTTTGCTTTTCCATAGAATTATGACCTGAGGGCATTTATTGACTTTAGGAGACCTGATGGCAACACAACAGACAAGAGTCCCAGGACTGTATGAGCACAAGCTTAGGAGGAAGTTGTGAGCTATGCAATAATTAAAAAACAAAAAACCAAAAATGAAAACCAAACCAAACCAAACCAAATAAACAATGTCAGAAAAAAACCCAAACAAAACAAAAAACCCCCCAAAAAAAAATTATAAACATTCCAAATCTCTGTAATGGACACAGCAACTCCTGGCCCATGAGTTGCACAACCTCACAGCACACTATTAGGAAGATGAATCACTGTTGCCATTTCCTGCCAGCAGTATTTATGCAAACTGTCCCCAGCTTTTGGTGGGGATTCCTGTGCAGGACTAAAGGCATGATGTAGCACTCCATCACTTCTGTGTCAGAAAGAATGAGCAATAGCACTCAAATCTGCCCATGTGAGAAGTCCCAGGGACATCCTACACTGCATGTGCTTTAACCAAAGGTAAACACTTCAGATCAAAACCTGCAAAATCCCAAGTCTGTGTCCGACATTGTCTTCTTGGTAGCTAAGAAGGACATTGATTAAATATATTGGGCAAATTTGGAAAAAGCACAAGCTTAATTTGCTGTAAATTATGTCTTTCAGGATTGCTGCTTTTATTTCAAATGTGAAGTATGGCTCATAAAGGATTGTAAAGTTTGGTGGGTTTTTCCAAATATACCAGTTAGCCAAAGAAAAATAAGCTATTTTTGTACAAGCCTTGCCTCACAAAATATTTCAGCAGTACTAGTGTATGGGCCTTTTCTTTCTTCACTAAAGTCGCAGGTTTGACAAGAACACATATTTAGGTCAAGACATAATTTTAGAACCTAAGATTTAGAAAATTATGTAAAAGTAAGATGACATTAAAATGGGAAAAATGAACCTGCAAAACTCTTGTTACAGCGTGTTTGGAAATGTCTGAAGAAAGCATATAAACCTCTCGGTATATCCCTTGTAATGTACCTGATGGCACAGACCATGCAAAGGAAGATGCTGTCTTATCACAAAAGACATGGAGAACCTGAGCTCTTGCAGTTGGGGTGTCCCTTGCCTATGGAAAGGAAAAATCGCAGCGAAAGTCCAGCTCAGGGCTTGCACGGGGCATGGATAAGAGCTTGATCCCTGAGGGATGTCACAAGCAGAAGGAGTTTGGCAAGTAGGAACTGCTAAGTGATGGCGTATGCTCTAAAGAATCCTTGGCATATTTAAGTGCCATATGCTATCAAGTGCCTGCCACTGAGTACATGTGAATTTATAATTATTTTTTGCTGGAGTTTTTTGATTTGGATTTGGACCAGTTTTTCATAGGGACAGCAAATGGCATTTGTCTGCTGCAAAGGTTACCTCCAATCAAGCACTTCGCTTTCGAGTGGAGGCTGCTAAGGGAAACAATCATAACATTGTTTTTCAAAATGTTGTGCATCTCTTAATCATCTGTTGAAATGTCCTGAAATGCTTTACAGAAATGTTTCCTAAACAAAGAGCCTCAGAGGGTTCCACGGAATCAAGAATGTCAGCAAATGGATTTTAGGCAAATTATGAAGAACGAATTAATATACAGGTTATAAATTTATAAAAAATTATTTTGTGTTTTAATCCTACAAAGTAGAGTTTCACAAAAACAATCAGAGACATGTCTGGAAAAATAGAAGTATCTCAATTTTATTAAGCCAAGAATTTTGTGGGACTATTTTTATCCATTTTCATAGTACGTGGAGAAGGTGTGTTCTAACTCCAGGCAAGGTCATCTTCATACACTGGAAACAGCTGCTGGGTGAGTTAAAGCAGATTTTCCTTCCACACAAAAAGGTAGGTTTCCTTTTCTTCCTCCATGCTGGCAATATAGAAGAGACGCAAGTGATAACCCCTCAGGAATTTCTCGCATTTCGCTTGTCCAGGGCACATTTGCATTCCAGAGGAACTAGCACGGTGAAACAGATTGAAAGGAATGAAATTTTGTTAAATGGAAATTCACATACTGAGGAGTTTTACTCATTGCCAGTTTTATGAGTGATAAGGGATTCTAGCCCAGATCAGATGAATCTGGGGCAGGCACCCCACAAAAAACAACCCACCTGGAGGAGGTCAATTTACATAATTTCACATACATATGCCACTAATGATGCTGTAACTGGCCTTCAAAGTATTGTAGGCAATGGCATCCACTTGATGGAGGAATGTTTTTCATTAATTGAGCCACAGAGAGTTCTGCCTATAAAACAAGAGATTAGGGTATGGTATAATGTCAGTTTCCTATTAATGACATTACAAGTAATTTCCAAAAAGGAATAAAGATGGGGGAAGTAAAGAGGTTAGATCTGATGGCTGAGTCTGTTCTCAGCCTAGAATTAAACACAGAGGTCTTTTGTATGTGAACAGTTATATAAGATCTGTAATTAATGTATGTGAGCCCGTGTCTTGTGCAGTACAACCTAAAAGTAAAGAGGCAGGGAAGGATTATCCAGTCAATAAGGGAACGGAAAAATCAATGGAACTTTGCTAGTCCTGTAGGGAGTAAGTTAGTTCTGGCCCTTCCTTTTCCTGTGAATATCTAGCTTTTAAAGCAGCCTGCTCATAACTGAGCATCCAACAGAATTAGAATGGAGCTTAAACTGTAAAAATTGTCTGCTGTTCAAACTGCAAGGCACAGGACTCTGAAACAGCAGTTTTTAAATTATATACACTGTGTGCATAGAAAGAGAGTTTCATTCTTGCATGCTATAAAGCTGAACATTTTTGGCATGTCTTTCATTCATTTGTTAAAACAAAACAAAAATTCAGAAAGAAAATAACTAAGCATAAGTGTATACTTAGAAAGAAACATTAGACTAAGATCACAATAGCACTCTAAAAAAGAAAAGCTGGTCTGAAAAGTGGCTTGTGAGACCAGTAGGGAGTGAGTACTCAGA